AAAAATCTTCATCCGCCATCGCCTAATTTCGCCCTTTTGACCTTATTCGGACCCTGATAACGGCGCTCATCCGGTAAGGGGGGGGGCATTGTGATGCAACGTCAAGTGGCTGCCCTCACCCCCACCCCCTGACTGCCTTCACTCCCCCTGGCTCACGGGGTCCCGTACTTCGAGAAACCTGTGCGCCAGGGGGAGTGTAGGCAGTCTAGGGGGGGGGGCAGCCACTTGATGCCCCCCTTACTGGATGAGCGCCTAATAACTGTAAAAATATACGTATTCTAAACAAAATTCGACACAATTGGCCCATTGCTGCCGCACTCTAAAAACTGAGCCGGATTTTTATCGGAAATTTGGCCATCACTGTGGATTTGGCTTGAAGATGTCTCTTGAGGTATTTTTCAACTCGTAGAACACGAATAGTGCATCAGTTTAGCGCGAAAACGCCAGTCGCCCGCACCACAGGCGCCAAGTGAACCCAAGGGTGTACGCCCGTGGCGCAGGCTGCAAGCTCACTCACAATAACTGGTATGATATTCGTGTTCGGACGAGAATGTTCCAGCGAATTTGGTGATCCGAAAGGGGTTCGGCGCCCTTTGGCGCCGACACTTACGGCGCTAAGGCCAGGTGTTTTCGCGCTAAATGAATGGATAGTCTGCTTTCAACATTGTGAATCAAATGGCCGTATACATAAGAACACATAAATAAATAAATGAATTAATTAATTAATATGAAATACATAGTGAGCACTCGATATTAGCTGTTTCTAGGTATGTTACGCGTTTATACTCCGCACGATTCGTCAGTTCAAAGAGGAGAACGGGACGCTGAACAACGAAGACACTCGGCGAGTGCATCGCAGTTCAAAGAAGGCAAGTGACTGCAGCAGCGGCAGCAGGTAAGAATCAGTAATTTGTCGAATCTGATCAATTGCATTTGTGAATGTTTTTAGACGATGGCGAGTGCAGGCTATGAGTCGACACAAGTATATCTGATGGATGCGGCACAGCTGTCTGATTAGTTGACTTCTTTTCATGCCTGTATTCCGGCATTTCAGATTGTGCTTTCTCCATATCAATCACCTCATCGAAATCACTCATAGCCAGCAACTTTTGATGACGATAGGTGGCTTCAAGGTACGGATTCAATGCTCGTGAGAGCTTTTGAGCACCTTCAGCGTGCAGACCGATGTGCTAGACCCATAAGGTCTATATAGCTTTGGCCGAAAATTTGGTTACACCTTGAATTCGCTCTAGAATGCGGGCGTTTGAAAAGAGGCTTAACTGAGACGATGTATTGTTTTTTTTTCTCTAAAATCATCACGACAGAATTACCAGAGGTCGTACTAGTGGCTGAAAAAGACATGCACAGAATGACGTGCGATGAGCTAGTGTTCAACAAAGAAAGCTACGGCGATGCCAGAAGGAACAAGTGGCGCTACGGCAGTGTGAGATGCGTTCCGGACAAGGCGTAAACCTGTCGTTGGACAATGTCCAACGAAGGGGGTGGCGGTCGTATTTTTGACGACGGGGTAGGAAAGGTGTGGAGGGTTGTATTTCGCGAGGAGCGAGGTAGCGTCAATGTTACAGTAAGGGAATGGATGTTCATGGAACGGAGAGTGGATTATTTGTAGGTGGGCTTTTGGGTTGAGTGCGAAAATTTTGCCGCACGTTCGATATACCCCCTCCCCGCCCTCCCGCTCAACGGCAATTTCGGAGGGAAAAGTGGGCGAAGTTGGCTGTGTCGCACTGATCTTCAAAGGAAGGATGGTAGGTCGAAGTGGCCCGTATAAAATGAGATGTATACCCTGATGCGTCTTCTAGACGCTGATTCCAAATCTGCCTTCCAAATCTGCTAAACGGCTCTCCGAACGGAGTTATGAAGCGTAATAGCTCAGTGGTGATGGTCCGGGGTGGCAGGTAAAGCTCGAAGCTTTTACCTGCCACCCCGGACCATCACCACTGAGCTATTACGCTTCATAACTCCGTTCGGAGAGTCGTTTAGCAGATTTGGAAGGCAGATTTGGAATCAGCGTCTGGAGACGCATCAGGAGGTATACATTTCATTTCAAACGGCCACTTCGACCTACCATCCTTCCCTTGTAATCAAAACTAGAGGATTGCCCCCTGGCAGGCGAGGATGGTGGAGGATGGTGAAGGGTCAACCCTGAGGGGGTGATCGTATCGAGGCTCTTAGAGGGGAACGGAGGTCAGAAAATTCTCGAAGTTAGGTCCAGGCGTTACGGTTGACATTTGTTCCGACAATTCTACGACGACAAATCGATCTTCAGCTCTCCGTAACTTGTTAGTTGAGAATTCATGTAAGAACAATGAATCAAATATCACTGCAATCTGAATGGACGCCTAGGATGCATGGCGTATCTCCAACGGGGATTACTTTATGCTGTATACTTCAACTTTTTATCATTGGAATTTCTTTGATTTAAGGTGTTCATCGGTGTTCATTCGGTATGTCAACCATTATGTTACTTTCGGATGACTGAGTTTCGGCGGTTAGCATGCTGCTTGCCCAGAATGCCCTGGAATCGTTCTCGAAGTTTCTCGCAACTCAACAGGTCATACGGTAAGCAGTAATTTTCGCGGTGTTTTTCTGATATCTCGTCTGGACGAGCCATTTTTCGTGAACTGACTAGCGCTGACTAGTGATACACAAATTCGTGACCAACATTTAGGTGGAGAAGCTTCCAAATTATTGGAACACTACCACAAGAGAAGAAAATCATTGCGCCTTTGACTGTAGATGCATCCCTGCCATAAGCACTTTCCACCGTTCTAGCTATATGCTTACCTGCTCTGCTGTTGGAAGAAGCTGAACTGAACCTTCGCGCTCCCCCTCCTCCTCAAGTGAAACTCAAACAATTTGTTGCACCTTTTTTTGGAAATATTCGGAAGTTCGGGAAGTTTCCGCCGTTTTTTTAGTAACTCTCTTCAAAAACGCCTTCATAGTTATTGTGGACACAACAGCTGGCGATTGAAATCGCCTCAAAATTTCCCGTGCGTAGCACATGTCATCTCTCTGGCCACAAAATGACCAAGATTATTCGGTGTTTTTGTAAAGGCATACGTTGGACGTTTATCTAGTAGTGGCGTGCGCACTGTGTTCCGCCTCGCCAAAAACACAGGGGCGTTATAACCGCTGGTAGCAGTAACCTGAAATTAAGCCGCAAGGTAGTGGCGAAGTGAGGTACAACTGAAGATTTTCGCGGGTGTCGCACCCTTTACGCCGGTATGAATCACAACGAAGCGAGCGCGGCTGTGGTTTGGGACTTAACAGTTGGGGGGGGGGGGAGGGTGTGGGGAAGGGGGTCTTTCAAGGGAGCACGCCCCCCCACTTTTTGAAACTGTTTCATTACTGTAGGGACCCGTGTAGGAAACAGAAACACCATGTTTCATTTTCGCTGAACGGTTTTAGCGGTGCCAAAAAAAAGAGCATAAAGCACTGTTAATGGTTCGATCCCCCGTGACGACTAAGTTTTGCATTTGGGTTGATGGCCTGGTGGTGTTTGCCCATGCATGCGTGAAATTCGAAATGAAGATCGGTCAATTCATGTGCTAGGACCATTTTCAAATTCAACAAGAATTTAGTCACGTTGCATGGCGAGTCGAACCAAAAGGGTCATTCAGACTCTTTTTTGATTTACTACTTGAACTGTATCAGCGAAGCACCGGTTTTGTAGGTCTATAACATGCGCACTGACGGTATGCCCGAAAGTTCGAGTTTCAAAGCGCGGCAGGGCCTGAAAGACCCCCTTGTTAAGGTGGATCGCACATGTGTATAAGCAGCAGCGTCTATTTGCGTCATGGCCAGTAACTGGCATCGACACCGCGCCGTTGTTAGAAACGCTTCCGATCAAGAAGGCTATACCGAATAAATAGGAAATGTGGTAATCACGAAAAGCTCCTGAATCAACAATATACGATGTAGACTGCCCCAGTAAATTTTACATTGAGGGCTAACCATGCAACAGATCTTAAATGTACGCGTGCGTCCGCTGAGCGGTGACCCCTCTGACCTGCACCCACTCTCTGATTTTGCATCCTCTCAGTGAGAGCTCTCATAGTATATCACGTTTTTTGTAGCCAATACACGATCGGTGATAAGAGATGAGGATTTGTTGGAGCCACCGGAGTCGCCACTCAACAGTGAACCGCTGCTGGTTAAGGAACGCATTAGTCCGGTAGGCACTACGCTTTATCATGTAACCCCAGTCATAACACTTGTGTTTACTAATTCCATTTAGGCGCTCGAAATATCGCTGTCAGACGCGTGGCCACGCAAAAAGTCCACGTCGTTCCGAACTATCAGCAATGGTACGCAGGTGAAGTTGTTTGCCAATTGATACACTCTGTCTACGTAGCCGAACGAAGTTTGCTTCTTGAAAGACGTCGTGAAAAATGAAAGAGAAAATATAAAATGAAAGCAGAAGGTCAAAACTTGGTCTTTAATTCCGCAATAACTTCAGGAGCAAAAAAAGGCCGTCGCAAATAATGTCCAGCTTGAAATGGATGCGATAAGCTACGGTTCAAAGCTGTCAGATCTCTGAATCTGAGAGTGCCATATCTCGATCTCATGTGCAAAGTCTTCTCATCGCGTTGGTCTCCTCTTCTTCAGCCATCGATAGTCTTTTTTCGCTGTGCTTTTGAAATCATGTATGTAATAAAGATGTTATCTATGCTTTGATCTTTGCAAGTTGAAAACAGCCGTGGTCACTGATCAACCATGGCCATCGATTGGTTCTTCAGTTTATCGCCACGATCTCTGGTCAGCGGATCTATCGGTCACCATTACACAACTCCAGTCATATCAGTTCCTTTTCCTTCGCAAGATCCCTTTCGAGAGCGACCATCGGTCATCGAGTTATTTGAGGGCGCCCGCTTATCCCATTGTTATCGTCAACATTCCTCCACATCGATCGAACTCTCTTATCAAGGACAGTGGTGTCATCTACTCGTTTTCTCAGCTCTTGAGTCGAGCGTGATGTTTTCCTGCTTACCTCTATTGTTATTTTAGTACGGCTATTTGAAAAGTGGTCTTCTAGTATCTCAACGGTTCTTTTTGCCATCTCCAAGTTACTTCCTAATCGTCACTGGTTAAGTCACTGGTTTCATGCCTTTCACAGGGTTAAAACAATTGGATGAGATGTGCTAATTTTGCGAGGTAGCCTTAGAGTCCAGTACAGATGACAACGTGTTTTTAATCCTTTTGAAAGCGAAATCTCGAAAATTTCAATTAGGCTTTGGAAGATAATACCAAGTGGTCTCGCCTGGAATTCTAGCAAGATTAAGACGGCAAAGTGAACTTTTTCACTTCATCGTGTAGACTGAGGTTCCACCGCTATTCACGACACAGGAGCCAGTGCTAATTGACATTAGTTAACCATATTCCATTAACTAATTAATCAATAAAGCAACTACTTATTTGGTTGACCGGAGCATTAACAGCAAAGCGTACTTATAGCCGCACTTAATATTGACGGAATGAAGCGAGCATTTTGAGGCACGTCTGCTTTGAAGAGAGCAAGAGCCATTATTGTGCCTTCGAAATCAAAGTGTTACATAGGTTAGCAAGAAAGTTCTGCGACACTCTTTCTCAAAATTTTCTTTTTTTCTGAAAAATTCATAGGTAACATTTATGACTACCAAATGATAGAGCATTCTCAAGGCTTCAATCCACGAGGTGGATATAAGTGCTGCAGTCAGTAGTTATCCAAGAAAATTCGAAAAACCTCGACCACTAGCAAATCCACACTCCGAGTCACTGTCTAGTACAAATGTCTACATAACTATGGATTCGTGTCAAAGACCAACACTATCTGCAATAGCTTCAATAGGCATGTCGTGTACCGCTACAGCGTGTTTCACCTTTACCAGCGCTTCCGATCTCTTTTGATATTTTTATAAGAAGCCAGCAGCGTCCCTCACACTCCATTACAGGTAGGGCTCTTACAGAAGCTCCACTACATACCCTTCGTTATGGGCACCATTGTGTAGGTAGTGGCCTAGGCTGTGGAATACCAGAAGCTGGCCGAGGTAGCTCGTCAAGAGCCCTCGTACCGCGACAATATTCATTTCTTTCATGACATTGCGAATCACCATGATCCGAAATGAGCCCGGTAAGAAATTCTGGAGTTGCGGCAAGATTTCTTTCCTCTCTTAGCGTAATCCCCTGGTCGAGCTGTAATGACTGCTACCTATCCTGGACCTTAAATCATCATCTTGATGACGAAATAATTAGACGATCAACTCCAACTCGAAAGTGAGGTCGCCTCCTTTCTCGACCCGCACTCCGCTGGGTTTTGGCAAAGGAGCATCAAGAAATTTTCTGAGCGTTGAAGACAAGTGGTGGACACTCATGGTAGATATAAGACCGGTCAGGAGTTGTAAACAAAAAAGATAAAATTAAAATCAAAAATTGAAAAAGTGTTGCAGGACTTTCTTTCCAACCTAATATATTCCATCCGCCTTTATAATGACGCACAAGAATGGAAACAATTTTTTTTAGCTATCAATTATTTATTTGCCAGTATTTTTGTTTCATATTTACTAATGAATTGTTATCCCTATGAGTAAAGCGCTAGCCGCATAGTTCATTATTACCGGAACCACTTTGAGGGTTTTGGTTTATAGCAAAAGGAAATGTCTACTGTTGTTTTGAATGCGTCGGGTTTTGGCGCATTGAGATCCCTCTTCCTCAACTACACTTGAACCTTATTCTTTACTGTTATTATGGGACATTCAGTCACTTACTCATCTTGAATAGCTGAACTGAAGTGTTATCAGTCCTTTGACTTAGAAACCAGTGATTAGAAAACAGATTGGAATGTGGAAGAGCAAGAGAATTCCACATGGACCATTTTCGGGGAAAATTAAAGGCAAAGGTCGGGCTCAGGCACGCTAGAGAAGTAATTCCCGTGCCTGGAGGTTGTATGTGGGTAGCTGCACACATTGCAGCAACTTCCCACCTTGAAAAACCCCGTTAAGGCCCCGGGGCGTTCGGTTTCAATCCAGGGCCGCCTGGTCAATCCAGGACCGCCCACCTCCGGAAGTGGTGCGTGGCTGGCATAACGTGTGAAATCAGCTAGGTTGATTTTTCTCAGTTTTTTCTCCACTGTCGTTCCACTTCGCATCTCTATACTCAGTTTCAATCGCCATAATACCCCCTTATTGAGCCCGACTTTTGCCTTTAAGGAATCGCGAGAAAGTGGTGAATCATATGCATCAGCCAGAATCTGAGCAACACCTAAAAAGGGCCGATTCTCTGTCATTAAAATTCTGGTCGAAAATGCATGCTTTCTCACGACATAAGACCGGAATACAAATCAAAACAAAAAAGGAATTAATGCTCAGCATGAGAAGCCAGTTCCAATTCGCTTTTACCACGAATTGTAGTGTGAATTCTGGCCCAATAATTCCTGTAAAATCCTCTACATAGATGTGGTACAGCCTTTGTTTTGAAGGGAGCTCTGACGTATTGGTTCACATAGACGTCTGGAGGTCCCTCCCACTATGAAGGTGTTGTTCTACTACGTAGCTCCAAGGCTGAAGTAAACCTTTAGATAGACACTAAATTTGTAGGCGTCGCAGTTTACAAGCATGGCTCCCATTAAGAGAAACGCCTCTGAGGGTCTATCTTGCCCCATACATAGACTCGCTGAATAGCACCTTCGAAATTATTGCTCTTCCAACTTGAACATGCGTGGCGTACCTCCAACTGCTTGTCCAACTCAGACATTCTTATGTGATGCCCTCTCTTGTTGAACTCAGAAACTTTGTGGCTTTCTTCTACAATTAATTTTACGGACTTATTTTTACTATTAATTCTAGACACGGAAGTCTAATTTTCAATGGGTAGATGCGCTGACGAGTCAGTTCGTCATAAATCAGCTTCATGATAACAGCAATTGTTTTTCAAGCTTGTCACTGGTTTGCTACAGCTTCGCTGTGGGTCCCGTAAACAAGTAGCAAAAGATTACACTGTGAGTTAAAGGAATTCTTGCGCGGAAAAATCATGATTCTATTTCAGCCATAAATCACTGGCTTGAGACTCATTATCCACGATAAGAATGAAAAGAACAGAAATTTGCTTTGTTTTAAAAAAATTCGAAAAACCGAAAGGGCTGCTACGCGTTCAAAGTGCCGCCGGACATCTGTCACAAATGCTGGCGACGGGAATGCTTCCACTTGGTTCTTGGAGTGCCTTCACTAGAAACTCTTTCTGGCCTTTTGACTTATTGCATTCACATCTCACACTACTCATCCTATTCTATCGATCGATTTGTCTCTACTCTCCGAAATCGCGCGCTTTAACCCGATTCTTTCATTGCGTCGCCTGATACGTAGCCGGCCAAAGGCCAACTTCTTTCCATGCCTCGCCTTTGGCTCCGCCCGAATTACCTTCGATTGTCCATAGAGTTATGTTTTGTACGTTTGTTTCTCTGGAACCAAGCTAATGCGAAAACCTTGTTCTGTTTCCCAGGACACAACGATCCATTATGTCAAACGGATACGATGAATTTCCCCGGCAAAGATCTTAGGACGAATTCACGATGAAAAGCAACCCATTTCAAATTAACCTAGGGATGGTGAGTGGTACACGAAAGAAGGAAAAACCATGAGAAACGGCCCAGAACCCGAGAAATGGGACCCCTTCCTTGCCCGTTGATTTGAGCATTGATGCGACTCTCATCGCTGTGCCCTCTTCAACACTACGCTCTCTCACTATCTAATCACTCGCCACGTATAGACCTGCGGCGAGTGATCAGATGATCGGTGGGCGTGCACTGGCCCACCGCGCCAAGATTGAGCCTTAATAGGTCGCCGAGGTCAACTCCTTCGGTGCCAATTGCGCTTCAGTCCGCACCCTTAGGAGGTCCCTCAACTAGGTGAATTACTCCTTCTTCGACCTTCATTCTAATCGTGAATTCGTCCTTTAAACTTCTAGTGGAAACCTAGTCCACTGTATTGTAGTAGAATCAATCAAGTGGTGCAATAGGCAAACTTGTTCCTTATTTGACTGATTAATTTTCGATAAATGTTTTTGCTCGCAATGCTAGAGCGTTCATTCATATCTGGCGCATTCGATGGCATTCAATGAATATAAGAAACGCTCCACAGAACTGCTGTGGTTTAATATGATGTTTGATTCACTGTTTAAGAAAAATATTCTTCTTACCCTCGGCAGGGAACGAACTCGTAACTTTCAGAGGCGCAGACTTCAGTCTACACGCTTAACCACTGGGTTATCCCTGCATCCTTATATACCTTAATGGTAGGAAGAAAAATGATATAAGGGCAACATTTTTTATTAAATATTGTATGTGCATAGATAAGGACTAAAACGTTTACATGACTTCCTATTATACCCAGTCTCTTCATGCATTACTTCGATGCAGGTTTTCTGATATGAAATGGTCACTAACCAGGAGCTAGTTTCGATTGAAAGGAGTGATAAGTGATCGGTGGCTGTTGGCCAAGTGCCCTCCAAATGTCCACTGCGCTACCATCTTGCCATCTAGCCGATCTTCGGGCGTGGGGTCATAACTTT